AAAGTTCCTGTGCAGCAGATTTGCCCAATGCAATACGTCGTCTGATCTCTTGACTGCTGCTTTTGGGTGTGTTGACAGTTGATCCAAGAAGAATGAAGTCCTTGACAACTTCAATCTTTTCTCCATTGATAAGAATGTTGTTTATTGGCCCAGTGGTGAAGATTTTTGTTTTCTTGACATTGAGATGCAATCCATACCGAAGGCTGTACTCTTTGATCTTCATAAGTAAATGTTTCAAGTCCCATAGAGTCAGTCCCAACTCATAGCAATCCTGTATAGAGTTTCTGAGGAGCAGTTGGTGAGCTTGAGCTACCAACCTTGCAGTTCAAACCAACCTTGCAGTCACACACATTAAGCCACAGCACCATCCAGGACTCTGGCAGACTTGTTTAATGTTCTCCAGCTTCAGCCTGAACTTGCATATGAGCAATTGATTGATTGTTCCGCAATCATTCCCCGGTCATGTTTTGTCTGATGATATTGAGCTTTTCTACCATCTCTTCCCACAGATGTAGTCAGTTTGATTCCTGGGCATTACATTTCATGAGGCCCATGTGTAGTTGCCTTTTATGTTGTTTTAGAGAGATATTTGAAATGAATAAGTCCTTGGTCTTACAAAATTCTATCATCAATCTCTGACATCATTTCTAGCACCAAGGCCATATTTTTCAACTACTAATCCTTCCTCTTTGTTTCCAACCTTCACATTTCCATCACCAGTAACTATCAATATACCTTGATTATATGTCTGATCAATTTCAGACTGAAGAAACTTGTAGAATTCTTCAATTTCATTATCACTGACTTTAGTGGTTGGTGCATAAATTTGAATAATAGTGTTATTTACTGGTCTTCCTTGTAGGTGTATGGATATTATCCTTTTATTTTTTTTAAGTTTTTATTGTGAACTGAGTGATAGTTTACGTGGAGAACATCGATTTTACACCATCAATGTATTGCAATGATTACAATCTACTCAGTGCATCATCATTCAACAGTATTTCCTTCTATTCCCTCTGTTATTTTTTTTTTTTGAGGGGGGGATGTGCATAAAACCACTCAGGAATATATGATAATTTAAACAACCAAAGTGCATAAACTTCAAGCCTGCCCGCAAGCCACCAGCACTCAGCTCCACTCTTTCCATGAGTCTAGAGTGCTCAGCTGCTCTCTCTCTCTCCATGTTCTCATCTCTGCCTCCATCTCTGGTGTCGCTGCTTCTCTGGATAGGGTCTCACATTCTGCTAGTGTTCTTCTTCCTTGATGGTCCAAGGGTCCTCTGTTTCTGGACTGTAAGATTAACTACTCCCCTGTTTTTGTTTAAAAACTTCTACCTTTACAGTTGTGACAGTCGCATTTAGTCATGATAATAATTACTCACTATTGAATCATAAGAATCTTATTCCCATCTCTTTTCACCAGACCCATCTAGACAAGATGAAATCTATTCAGTGGAGGCTCTACCTTCCCCCACAAACTCTTAAACTAAATTATCTCTTGATAACTTGTAGTCACTTCAAGGCTTTATTACCTGCCCCCACGCCCTATTTTAGGTAGCCATTGTCTAACTTGCCCATCCCTATCTACCCTGTATACAGAGGGGATAGGATTGATACTTGATGTGAAAACTCCTTCCCTCTCAGTTGGTATTTTGAGCTACTACATCCTTAAGTATAGATCAAGTTCATCAAATTGTAGCAATTTACACTTGTTTCCTTTATCAAAATTGTTTTTTTTTATCTTCCTCTAGTCAAGTTCTAATCTTGAAACCATCGAAGCTAGGTCATATGGGAACTATCTGCAAGTTTGGGCGTTCTTGTGTGTCTCCGCTCTGGATAATATCCTTTAACACATAGCATTATACTTCAAGATAGATTTTGAAATGGTTTTTGTTTTTTCATGATGAATGTGATGCCATTCTTCTTCAATCTGGCATTCCCTGCATAGTAAACCATGTAATTGTCTGATTCAGAATGGACAACATCAAATCATCAGCTCACTAAAGTCTAGAGTATCATTCTTTATATGTTCCATTTCATTTTTGACAACTTCCAATTCTCCTAGATCCCATGTCTGCAGCTGTTTCTCCTCATTTTGAGTTGTGCCCCATCTGCAAATGAAGGTCCCAAAAACTTTACTCCATTCATACCACCATGGTCAACTCTGCTTTTGAGGAAGTGGCTCTTCTCCAGTTGTATTTTGAGTGTCTTCCAACCTGAGGGGTTCATCTTCTGGCACTGTATCAGACAATGTTCTGCTGCCGTTCATATGGTTTTCAGTGGCTACACATTCAGAAGTAGTCTGCTTCTCCTTCTTTCTGGTCTGTCTGGAAACTCAGTTGTAAACTGTCCACCATGGTTGACCTACAGTAAGGTACTGTCCCATAAGGAGACAAATCAAAAGAAGAAAAGAGCTACCCTTGAAATGTTGTTGAATGCTGTTGAGTTGTCTCCAATTCACAGGCACCCTGTATAATGTTTTCGAGGAGCAGCTGGTAAGTTTGCACTACAGACTTTGTGGTTCAAACCAATCTTGCAGTTGAGTATTTATCCTACAGAACCACACCAAGACTCCAGCCTTGAAACAGTATGCATATCCTGCTGTAGAATACATGGGCTTCAATTACAGAATGTCAGTCAGAAACATGAATTATTCAATAAATTATGTCAAAATTTTGGTTACTTGGAATAAACCTGTTTCCCAGATTTTACCATCCAATAAGATCCATCTCCATTGGACTAAAAAGGAAAGTGTAAATTAAAGGTGAAATTGACTGTACAAGCATAAAAATAATGAAGGAACAAGATGCAAAATTTCACATATAGTATGACTTCAATGCCACAACACAAAACCAGTTCTGGTGTGAATGTCTCCCAATAATCTATGCGTTTGTATGTGTTAAAGTTAATGGCAGAAATACATCTATTTGTGCTTCCTTTTATATAACGTTTTGTTTTTTCTTTAATATGCTCTACAGTCTTGGTGTGGTGCTGTGGGTTAATGTGCTGGACTATAAGGTCAGTTTGAACCTCAAGGTCAATGTATCAAGCTCACCAGCTTCTTCTAGGAAACTCTATACAGGGATTCTATGAGTTGGAACCAACTTGAAAGCACTTAATAGCAACAACAACAGTCAATATGTTACTTGTATAATTATAAAAGAATATATTATATGACATGCCAAAATGACTATGAAACAAGTTAATGGCAAATCAAGCAATAAGGCCAGTTAAATGGGCACCTCCAAATAAAACTGATCTAAATTTATAAATAAGATCATCCTCCAACTCAATACAGAGAAGAAAAAAATATGAAAAATGACTCCAATTTTGTGATGGAGATGAGCAGCTAACAATAAAAGAATTTGCGGTCAAAGGAACAAACAGAAAATTTCTTGTAGTCAGACAAATCAGATTTTAGGTCTTGACTCAGCCATAAAAGAGACACGAGTATGTGAGCAAGATAGTTCATTTCTCTGGGTCAATACTATAAATATAAAATAAAAGACTTGAGCTAAAATCAATTATTTCCAAGCCTAGATGACCACAAGCAAAACATACATAGTGTTTACCATGTGCCAGGCATAGTGATGCATGGTTTGTTAGTGCCATCTCATGTAAGCATCTCAGTTAATAGCAATATGTATTCATATTTTAAGATGAGAAAACTGAGGAATAGAGTCCATGATCATAAAGCTAGTGATAATACCCAGTGTTAATACCCACAGCTATTACCTTATAGTTGAAAATCTACCCTTTAAAAATTCCCCAAAATGATCCATCTGATCAATTGGACTCGTTTATAGTTTACCTCAAAGACCTTTCCAGATCGCAAATCTATAATCCTACAAGCCTGGTTTATCATACCTTATCTTATAAATTCCTAGAGGTAATGTCCGGTATTTGACTGGACCTCTTAGGAGAAATACTAGTGAGAATCCAGGTTGAAGATCTTTTACTAAATGTAATCTTGACTCATCTTCTACCAGCACATGAATGCATGAATCAGTAGAGTATATGTTTAAAATTTCATATAAATTGATCCTTCTCTCTGTCATCATTTCAATATGAAGACATCAAGAGAAGGAAAGAATAGAATTGAAAAGAGACTGTAGAATCTTGATCCCAAACTACCCAGTGAAGCCATTGTGAAGCTAAAGAAAGTATGCCTAAAGCATAGCGCTCTTAGAAATAATGATCCACTGTCCTGTAAACTGACAAAGGCGAGTCTAAGCACAGCTGAGGACTTCAAGGCAGAGAGCCCACAGTAATGGGGATGGAACAATATGGGTAGAGATCAAATGGTGAAATAATGTCAAGTATGTAACCAATGTTACTAAGCTGTTCATGTAGAAATTATGAATGAATGTATGCATGGTTATACAAATTGTCAACCAAAAGAAATGAACCATTTTTAAAAGAAGAGAAATTGGAAGACAGAAAAGGCCTTTGGAGGTGTTGCTTTCTTAAAGTCCTTCTTAATGATCAACCACCATCCCAAGGCCTGAAATGATAGACTCTAATTGTCTACTACAACAACCACAGCTGGACTGAAGTTTCCCCCTTAGTTTCCCATAGTCATACAGAGTGGGTGTGTGAACCCCCTAATTTTCTCCAATAGATACAAACAGCCAAAGGAGGAACGAAGTATTAAAGAAAAGGTGTTACAACAGGATAAATGTCAAACTGAAGAACGTTGAAGGGAAAGAAACAAAGGGGTTGGCATGTAACTAACTCCAATTTTTCCCACGTTGCCTTAATTATCTTAGAGCTATAAAAGGGCCAGAGAAGAAACGTTAAATGCCAACATTAGACATAAAAGCTATCGTTAAGCACCTATTGGCAGAATAGGTGTTTACAGTTCCAATGAATCATGGGACAGTAACACTTATGGGAGCTCAGGAACTCTTCCGGCATCGAAGTCAACAGGAGCTTCCCCAAAGCACTGTCTCTCTTGCTGTGGGTTAGCCTGGAACACAGACACAGAACCTCAAGCTCTACCTTGTATATGATTTTACTCCTGATATCTGTCAGATCCACTTGGATGGAGATGTAATCAATGTTGGGCGAAGGGGGATCCAAATGTTGATAGCGAAGCCCCATCAGCAGAAACTCCTCACAGCTCACTCTGAGACTTCCTACTTTCTTCAGTCCTACAGTACAGGTTCCACCTGGACACTTCAGTTCTGTCCTCAGTTCTAGAATGTATAGCATTGAGTTAAGACAACCACTGGAACATACAGATGATCAATTTCCTAAACAAATCCTCCCTCCCATGGACATTTGTTTCCTCTCTCCACCCCAGAAATATTCACAAATACCCTCCAATTAGTCACAATATTCTGAAAACTTATAGTTACATTTACTAAAATGAACAGTTGACCAGTTATCTTACCAGATCCTCAACCACCAACAGTTACAGTGAGAGACAAAGAGTAGGATGTGTGTTGAAATGCTTGGATGTTGCTGGCAAGTATGTCTGTGACTCACAGGCCTTCCACAATCCAGCTGTGGGCTTCCTTTGTACCATCAGCTTCAATGACACCCTCTTACAATTTCTACCAGACTGCTGTACTCACTAGAATGCTCTCTCCACTCTTATCTAATCCTTCGAGGTCCAGTTAGTCTTCCAACTAAATCTTTCCTTAAATGTTTTTTGACCACCTGAATGAAGCTGCTCTTGCCCATCCACTGAGAACCATATGTATCTTTCTATCTGTCTTCATGTCTCTTTCTAATTGTATTTTTCACTCTTGTGGGATTGATGATCACAAGCCACTTCATTACTGAGCATCATTTCCCTGATGTCTAGTATGGATATTTTCCTTCTTAAGCAGATGGTTGTAAAAAATAAATGAGATGAGTTATGTGCAAATGTGTGCTTCACTGTAAACTGCCTTTCCAAATTCAAGTTATCATGATTACGATAATCCCTTATATTTCTTGGTCTGCTTCATAGTAACTAGAATACAGTTATGCATCTGTTACTATTAAGTAGATTCCAACTCATCTTGACCCTATAGGATGAGGTAGACCTGCCACCTAGGGTTGTCTATGCTGTAATCCTTATGGTAGCAGATTTCTAAATCTTTCTTCTGTGGGGCCACTGAGTGTGCTTGAATCACCAACCTGCAGGGTAGCAGTCAATTGTAAACCATTTGTACCACCCAGGGACCTATGACTAAAAACAATGTTGTTGTTACTGTTGCATGCCATTGAGTCAATCCCGACTCTTAGCAACCCTAGAGGATTGCCCCATAGAGTTTCCTAGGCTGTAATCTTCATGGGAGCAGCTCTCCAGAACTTTTCTTCTATGAAGCTACTAGCAGGTTTGAACCATTGACTTTTCAGTTAGCAGCTGAGTGCTTAACCATTGCCCAACCAGGGTTCCTCACTAACAATAACAGCTAACTATCACTGAACACTTACCAGGAGCCATGCATCATGCTAAGCACTTTGTACGTGGGATCTCATTTACTCCCAGCCTTCTAACAACCCTATGAAGAGTGTGACCTTTTCCCAGATTACAGAGCCTTCAAAGCTTAAATAACTTGCCTAAAATAGCACACTCCCGTAAAGATTTACACCCTCGGAAACCCTGTACAGGGTCGCTATGGGTCGGAACTGACTCCACGGCACTTAACAACAACAACAAAAATAGCACAAAAACAAACAGCAAAGGCAAATTTCAAACCCAACTTTCTGATTCCAAAGTTCATGCTTTTAACCACTGCACTACATTCTTCAACTAGCTAAAAGTTATGTTCGTTAACTGAAACTCTTTGTCAAGCTTGAAGGTGACAATTTATAAACACCCAGATAATCAGGAATGCATCTCATACCGGACTCAGGGAAGAAACTGTGTGGCTGATCTCCACGAGGTTCCTCTGGACCAGGCTCCACCAGGACCATCTGGCCATGGGCAGGCAGCCAGGTTCCCACAGGGTCCAGCTTGATGGTGCATTCCAGGTTAGCCACCCCACCATAATCAAAGCTGAGCACGTTCTTATCAATCACCCGGGACAGGCCATAGAATTCAGACACCTCTAGTACATTGTTACTCATTCGGATAATGTTACAGTCTGGTTCCAGGAGATAGACCCGCAGGATAAAGGTTTCTGTGAAGGTGTCTGTTTCAGTAAATCTGTGGAGAAAATGGAGCAAAGGCAATATTTATTGGTGTTCAGACACTTCTGATTATCTGTGTACCTGGTTTTAAGTGTAAAGAGTGACCTTTGAGGTATTTGTGTCTCAGGCAGTTTGGATTTGGTTTCAACCTCTCTGCTCTTTTTCCTTCGTCTCTTTACCTTGGTGACAGCTCCTTTTTTGCCACCTCTCCCCCAAGTCACCTACTTTCCAACACCTGATCTCAAATCCATCATCCATCTGGATATTGAATGACTGCTAAGAGTGCAAACTCCCACTTCTAGGAGATTCTGAGCGCATATGTAAAGTGAGAAGACCAAGCCTGAATAATAAATGAATTGCGTTTTAATTCAGAGTGAAAGGGTGGAGGGATTTTCTGAAGTATCAGAGCCTTTGTGGTCTTCAGAAACTCCACCATATGAGAGGTCATTTACAGTCTAGCTGGGGTGACTATCTCAGTGCTTAGCACAAGAATGGGTATTCAGTAATCCATACTCTTTGTGCTCTGTTGTTGTTGTTGTTAAGTGCCATCAAGTTGGTTCTGACTCGTACCAACTTTATATAGGGTTTTCAAGGAGTGGCTGGTGAGTTTGAACCACTAACCTTGTGGTTTAAACAGACCTTGAAATCCAATGCTTTATCCCTACAGCATCACACCAGGACTCAGTATCTGAGGTATTTTCAAAGAATCTAGAGATTTGACGCATTAGAGAATAATGACCAGAAGACACAAATAACACGCAGTAGAAACCACATGGGCGATGTCACAAGGGAACGAAAGGAAATCAAAAGGATATAACAGAATACTATGAAGAGTTGTACTCCAACAAATTTGAAAACTTACAAGAGATGGATACATTTTTAGATAAACACGACCTGCCTAAACCTACACACAGTGAAGTAGAAAACCTGAACAGAACCATAACAAAAGAAGAAATTGATCAGCTCATCAAAAAACTCACAACCAAAAAAAGTCCAGGCCCAGATGGCTTCACTGGTGAGTTCTACCAAACATTCAGAAAAGAGCTGTCACCAATTCTA